TTAATGAATGTGCCACTCAATTCTTCTTCTTTGGCTCCTTTGCTGGCATTGAGGGATTTCTGTTGGCCGTGATGGCCTATGACCGTTATGTGGCCGTCTGCAAGCCTCTCCTGTACACAGTCCTGATGTCCCCCCACCTCAGTGCCCTCCTAGTGTTGGCTACATATCTTGAAGGCTTTATAAATGCTACCATTCACACTGGCTTCACCTTCCAGCTGTCTTTCTGCTGCTCAAATATCATCAACCACTTTTTCTGTGACACTCCATCCTTCCTGAAACTCTCTTGCTCTGACACACACATCAATGAGGTTGTCATCTTTGCTTTTGCCATTTTTAATTAACTGAGCTGCCTCCTGATGATTCTGGTTTCCTACCTCTACATCCTTGCTGCCATCTTGACGATTCATTCTGCAGAAGGGAGGTACAAAGCCTTCTCCACCTGTGCTTCCCACTTGATGGCGGTCACCATCTTCTTTGGGACAATCTTGTTCATGTATCTGCACCTCAGCTCCAGCTACTCAAGGGATGAAGACAAAGTAGTGTCTGTGTTTTACACGGTGGTCATCCCCATGCTAAATCCTCTCATCTACAGTCTGAGAAACAAGGAGGTCAAAGTTTCCTCAAGCAGAATTTTTCAAACATCCTCTTTTTACTTCTCTACTTAGAATCATCAAACCATGGGGTTTTAGGATCTAGGGGAACTTACAGAGATGTCTCCTTAGCATGGCTAGATTTTCTTTACAGACAGCGACCATAGACGTGTACGATAAATGTTTTCAACTTGTGTGGATTGCATAAAATATAGTTTGTACGAATCTAGCACATAGTCTTCGTTGAAAGACTAATGGTCATGTAAATAGAAAAGTGGTCAATTAAAAGTACGTAAGGAATAACTTTGCTTTCAGTGTTTTTGGTGATAAATCAAACCCAAATCTTTTAATTTTATCCTATGTTACTTTGCCTTTCAGACTTTGCATTATGAACGCATGATTTTCTTGCTCAACTAATGGTCTTGTCCATCCTGTCATTGTTTTTTTCTGGAGAAACTTTCGTATTTCAAGACACAGCCCAAATATTATCTCCTTTGCTCTTCCCAAAGTGTAGAGTTACACATGCATTTTCTTGTATATTCTATAGATAATGCAACTCGAGTAAGTTCTTACAAAAACAAATCATGATACAATGTTGCATTTGTTAACACAATCTGAGAGCTCTGGTAGAAAAGAAACCTATTTATATCTATCTATCTCCATGCCTTCATAGTAGGCCATCAATAAAAGTTTTAAAATTAAGAAACAATCATTCCAATCAAAGGCACAAGGTGATGGAAGACAAAATGTTGCTTCTGGTATCTGGAGCTGAAAATATTCAATAATCACAACTTTAAAAATTCAATGTTAGAAATCGAAAGTCCTCTTATATCTAATTGGGTTATCTGTGAGATAACGTTTTATTCTTTTTAGAGTAGCTTGTCCTATTTCCTTTGAAACTAAACATTTCAATAAACCGATATTCCGTATCCTGTATCTTTCATTTTACATAAAGTAAATGTGATGTCAACCTATACTCATAGAGTATTTGGCCTTTTTACATGAAGGGAAAGAAAGTTAACTCAAGCTAACATAGGCCTGCAATGAGGACTTAGCCTTAGTGTTGCCAGGTGTCTCTCCTTCTCTCCGTCTCTCTCCTCCCCAACTTCCTTTCTCAAATTATCCATTAGTTTATTCTTGTGCTCAGGCGTTCCACATGGTGTACCCATGGTTAAATACACTTAAAATGACTGCATTACAGGCAAGGCTGTTTCTTTTTAGGAAGAACTGTTCTTGCCTGAAATGGCCCAAATGCCCATTGGAATCATATGGTGCGTGGTATGCGTGTATTTGTGTATGTGTGTATGTTGATGACAGGGGTGGGGGCGTGAATTACCAGAAGAAATCTTGCTCTATCATAGTGACTACAGTCCACTGTATATTTATTCAGTAAAATTAAATTCTTTCCCTGCCCATTGCTCTGTTCATTAACAAATTCTAAGTCTAGGCAGTGAATGCTGTATACTGTTTAGAGCTCCAAAAATTACTGTTTATTAGTTGATGGATTGGATGTATTCTCATATGATGCAATTTTGGGGTTCCTTTTTAAAATACATGTTTACAACTTTGTCTATCACGGTGTTGATAGGCAATGTTCTATTCTTCCAGCATGGAATTCTGCTAACAGAGAAGTATAAGTATGGCCAGTATTTCACACATTGGGTGCAAAGCTATCTGATATTATATTGAAAATGGTTGATTTGAGATTACTTTTCACATAATGAAATGGTCAGCATTCCCCCAACTAGCAGTGTGTCAATACATTTTATTTTACTCAATCTGCTGATTATCTATTTATTCTAATATCTTTAAAAACAAAACCAGGAATCAGAAGTTTCTTAGTATGTATGTGATAGTTACACATGACTATTTGGAATAAACTAGCAGCTAGACCCTCCTTATGTAGTGGAGGATCAGGAAAAAAATCAGGAAACAAAATATGACAGTGCGCTTTAGACTGTAACATTGAAAAAGCAGCTCTTGCTTCTTTGATTTTTCAATATTTCCTAGATTTGAGGACTTCATGTGTTTTCTCCTTGCTGCCTCTGTCAAACTGCCAAACTAACATACAAACATCGTCTTTACTTATTATACTGATCCTTCAGTATGCCTGATTGTCTAGGAGTGTGGAGTTTGTGTGATGGACAGGATTTAGACAAGAAACTTTCCCACGAGCCTGGGTAAAACCTCCGTGGGGCCATATCTGCATAGAGAAGGCCCACAAGTATTTGCTTTGACCCGCTATTCACTACTTAAAACTCTTCATCTAACAGTTTTTCCTCCGTCTCCTTTTCTCCTTCTTCGTCTTTTTTTTTCTTAATTCAAGTTTTCTTTATATTGGAAGCAAAGAAAAGAGAAAAAAAGATAAACTAGTTAACTTTCTGTATATTCTAATTGAATCGATTGTTAAACAAAATTCCGTATGGAACCAAACTTGCACTATATCCAAGGTATGTCTGTATTTAAAATTAAGAGACATCCAAAAATTTGGCAAAATTTGTTTCTAAATCAAGAACGGGTATCTCCCATTAAGAAAATAATCTGTTTTGTTTGAAGAAAATTAATGAAACATATCACAGGGTCAAGAAAACCTGTAAAGTATTACGTTCTTTGTTGAAATCATAAGGTAGATATTGTTTTAAATTCAAGATAAGTAGATATAAAAATTCACCAAGGCATCTGAAATTAGAAATATGAGTTTGTTTTGAGAAGATAATCAGCTTTCACTTAAAGAAATTATGTAACATATCACATGAATGTAAATCATTTTCTTATTCAGGAAATATATTGTAAATCGTTTCACTTTGCTGTTGAGAGTAGCTAAGAGATGCTCAATATTGATGACCCAGGAAGTAAAAGGAAGAACTTATTGGCTAACTAATCAAGTAGAAATAAATTCTAAACACATGACCCTGCTCAATCATAAACAGTTGACTTCTGTTGCTGTGTTTCCTATCAATCATCACTTTCAAACAAATTTAACATTCATTATTTCCATTAGACTTTCACTTGATCCCAAGCTATGAATATAAAAAACATTGTTTATTCCAGAGAATTGCATTTCAGAAGAACCAATGGGGGGTACTTTTTGATTATTTTAAGACTCATTTTTTTGTTTTTATTGGGAGACTGTAGATATTGAACTTTGCTCCATTTTACCAAGATTTCTCATAAACACTCTTTTCAAAGCCTGTTTCACATCTTTGTTTCTCAGGCTATATATAAATGGATTCAGCATGGGACTCACAAAAATGCAAAACACTGCCACAATTTTTCCTTGCTCTACAGATCTCTCATTTGCTGGTCTCAGATACATGCAGAATAGGGACCCATAGAACATTGTGACAGCTGTCAGGTGGGAGCCACAAGTGGAGAAGGCTTTGCGCTGCCCTTCGCTGGAACGGATCCTCATAATGGTGATGAAAATGAAAATGTAGGAGACGAGGATGATGAGCAGGGAACCTGTGAGGTTAATCCCTGCGGACACAAACAGGGCTGTCTGCTTTATGTAAGTGTCAGAACATGTCAACATTAAGAGGGGTGGGTCAGCACAGTAGAAATGATTGATGGTGTTGGGGCCACAAAAGGACAAGCGAGAGGTCAGTATTACTTGCATTGTGCCCACCATGGACCCCCAGAGGTAGGGGAAAGTCACCAGGCAGATGCAAACTGGCCTGGACATTTTGCTGCTGTAATGTAGGGGCTTGCAGATTGCCATGTAGCGGTCGTAGGCCATGGCTCCAAGCATGTAATACTCCGTAAGGAGCAGAGTCACAAAAACAAAACACTGGGCCAGACACCCAGTGTAGGAAATGGTCTTCTTCTCAGATAAGAAATTAACGAGCATCTGGGGAGAGATATTAGTGGAGTAAAAAATATCCACACATGCTAAATGGGTGAGGAAGAAATACATCGGAGTTTGCAGCCGGGGAGTCAATCTGATTACTGAAATCATCCCAAAGTTCCCGGTTAGGGTGATGAGGTAAATCAGGAGAAACACCACAAAAAGGATGGGCTGCAGCTCGGGCCAGCTGGTCAGTCCCAGAAGAATAAACTCGGTTGCCTCAGTGCCATTGTGTCTGGGATCTAACTTGGTCTTCATATTCTCTAGTTAGAAAAGAAGAATATGTCAGAAAGAAAAAGAAAAATAAATTATATGCAATCCAAGAATAGTCAAAATCAAACAAACTGGTTTTGAAAATAAGATTACAAAGGCTATCTCCCCTCAGAGATGGAAGATTTCAGTAGATGCCTTCAAGTGGTTTGTGGTACTGGTTAAAGTAAACAATACAAAAGATTGTGAAGTCTATGCACTATACTGCGCTGGCTGTTTTGCAACTCCCACCTCTGCTCTGCTAACACACATGGGATTTGACTCAGCTCATTGATGTCCCTAATTAGACTATAGAATCAGGACCCCTGATCCTCAAAAATGGCTACAGCCATAGTCTGATTATGACACAAATACTTGATCTGGGAATGGGGTGAATGAGTGACTCCCTCTAGACTGGTTCCATCATTGCCTGCAAAGGTGAACCTTCTGTAAATTGGGAGACCGCGTATTTCTTGAAAGTCTTTTGTATATACGTTCAAGCTCAGTTTCTTCCTCATTTCTTACTTTCCAACAGCAGTAAGCATCTAACGGTCCCTTGGTATTCTTTCAACCTTAATTTCCCTTTTTTCCAAATTAACAACTGATCATTTGGATTGTTTTTTCACCTAATATGTACTTTTATCTCATAAATCTCTTTTTATCTCATTATATCCCAATATTTCATATTGCATATTTATATTTTAGCTTATCTCACACACTTGACTTAACATCTTATATCTGAATCATCAAAAAGTCTTGTCAGTTCTATCTTCAAAATATTTCATACTTAATTGCAACACTGCAGTCAGCATTTTCTCTGCCAGCAGTCAGGTCTAAGATAAAATTCTCTCTTGTCTGAGCTACTGTAGTAGTTTCCATTCTTTCATACTTACAGTCTCTATTCTGCAATGCAAGCCAGTGATATTTTGTAAACATAAATCACAGCGTGTCACTGACTTGATAATATAATTCAAGATTTCCCATCACCCTTGGGATAAAATCTAAACTTCTTAGCAAGATATACACAGACCTATATGATGTCTCCCCTGCCCCCAAACTCTTCTCCTACCGCTTGTTCTTCAGTCCTTCTTCTCCTGTTACATTGACCTTCTAGCTGTTCCTTGATCATGCTGAGCACATCCACAGTCAGGGCCTTTGCACACACAGTTCCCTCTGCCTAGAATATTCCTTCCCCAGATTTTTAGCGACTCATTCCATTGCTTCATTTACATCTCTCTCTTAATCTCTGAAAGCCATTGCCTGCTCACTTGTCTAGGTAAGCTGTATTCCAAATGACTCTTGAATTGTTAATCATGATTTATTTTTCCTCCTAGAATTTATCACTTATGAAATTATTTATTTATGTGTTTATTGGTGTCCCCTCTGTTAGAATGTGAGCCATATGAGGGCAGGAACATTATTTTTGCCATATCCCTAGAACTCGGACAACTCTTGAATTATAGTAGCTACACATTAACCATTAGTTGAATAAATGGCTGTATCAGTGAGATCAATTTGCCAACTTATA